GCGTCGATCGTGGGAGTGGATTTGTCTTTGATCGCGCCGTCGTCGAGGGGCAGTTTTTGAGTTGCTTTGCCTTTCATCAGCTCGCGAGCTCGATGCAGTATATACTATCGAAGATAACGTAGTCGTGATCAGCAAGAACGAATACCGTAAGCCCTGAGAGTAGCATCGGCCATGCTGCACAGCGGAATACGAGAACGCGAAACCGAAGATCAGTCTGAGTGAACCAGAACCTCTTGAAGATAAACCATGCATTAGTTGCTGCCTTTACGCGTATGTTGCGCTCGACGTAGAAACCGTTAAGGTCGTGCAAGTATGGTCCAAGATAGCGTACCGCGCAGAGTACTTTGCATTGTGCTTGCTGCTCGTGAACATTACGCTGGTGTGCGTGCGCACGCCTGCCGACGATATGTACGGTGGACTCGCTCTTGTCCGCATGCTGCGCGATCATGTACTAGTCGAATCTAGCGTTCAATGCGGAGTCGTGCTGAGCCTGGGTAGTATATAAACTCGTAGGTGTAGTGATCGATGAGAAACCAACACCTTGACCAAACTGGCTTCTTCCAGACGCCGGCCTGGAACAGCATATGCATGATGCGGCGGAGGCCGATGAGGTTTGCCAGGCCGTCGAAGGAGGGCTTTGTGATACGCCTTGGAAAAAGGAGATACACGATGTACGATGCGAACATCGTCTTTCTTCGGAATCTGAAAACCTTGGCCACGATGAAACTGAAACGGGCTGTGTCCAGTAGATCTTGTCATGTCCATCGCTCGTTGAAGGCGTTTAAGAAAGAGCTGAGGCTCATGTAGTGTAACGTCGTGACCAACTCCGTGTGTTTCGCTTTTGTATACTGCTTGAGACCACAGAACCGTCTTCCATACTTTATTGGGGACGCCCCAGGAAGGAGGCGAGCGGCGGTTGGGACTCTTGCGTATCCACCGGCGCACTTGCTTCAAATCATATTCTCCAAGTAGGTGGCAATGATAACTTACATGTACATCATCGTCGTGGTCGTCGATTTTTTTGGTCGAACTTGAGATATGGGTGAACGAATGCAATTCCATCTTCCTTCCTTGCGAACCCGGCTGAGATAACTTGTTGAACCATTCTTCCTCTGAGCGGCTGCGAAGGGCAGCTTTGTGATAGTTTTCGAAGGCGACGGCCGATACGTTTGCCTGTGAGTAAGCGTGCCAAGTGCCAAGCTTTTGCCAATCGTCGTCCGCGCCAGGCATCTTGCAACTCAAGTCGTCTTTGCTCGTTAACTTCTTTATTGCGCGTTGCGTGAAAGCGACGAATATTGCGATTGACCCGAAATAGTTGAGAACGATTCTGTCAATGCTGAAACGCGAAATATAGAACCAGGCGCGGGCGCGATTGCGTGTAAGAGTTGTGCGGGCGGGCGTTGGCTTTTAAACCATGCTGGGATATCTGACAAGCGTGCAAACATTGAACTCGTAATTCTCGCCAGCGTCGACGTAGCTCTTGTCGTTCGTGAGAATGTGGACCTGCTGCGGATGCCTTCTTGCCAAAATGTTCAGCTGCGAGTGGAAGTAAACCTTTTTCAACAAGAAATTCCCATTGTTCAGAGGAGCTCTTGTTTGTGACAGCGTCAAGTTCGTCGGTGTGATCTTCGGTCCCCTTGTCGAGAGCGATCAAAAACTCCTGGCGCTTGGAGCCCTGCAAGCAAGATTGAACCAAGCGGTCGAAACCCCACTGTACGTGATGCGTTGCTTCGTGGCCTTCGTATCGTAAGTTATGTTCGGTAAGTGCATAAACTGGATGATTGTCGACTCTTTTGGTATCTGGAGCAAGTTGCAATCGATCGCCAAGAGAACGAAGAGTCTGACATTTGCGAATATGCTGCGCCAAATAGGAGCTGCGAAGAACAATGATGAAGTCGATATAACTTGTGGAGCCAGATACTCCATGATAGTACGTCGGGAATGTACGAGTAAACGTGCTGAGTAAGACCAAGTCGTGCTTGAGAAGAAACTCGATGAACTGGTGAGTTCGCGGCTGCTGCAAACTTCAATTGAAGGGCCCTGTGCATGAGTCATCAGTAGGGGTGGGGCCCGCAGGGGTCCTGATAAGCCCGACGTGTTCATTATAATATATGCCCAAGACAGGTAGCGTACGCGATGATAAAGACGAGTAGAGTTCTTCAAGCCATGCCGGAGTCTTCTGATAATCTCTTCTGGAACGAGCGGTGTCGGTGTTCGGGGGAAGGTAGGCCGAGATGAAGGTGAAGTCAGATTGCTGATGTTTGCATCTAATAGCCCCGCCACGTCCCCAAAGGTACTGCTGCTTCGGGTAGGAGGCGGATATAATGTTGGACCTTGAGAACCTCTGAGATGACAGTGCGATAGTAACACCTGTATGTGCGTTGCCCTGCTTAGGAGGGCCAACATGAAACTGATGATATTCAGCGCTGGTATGTGCATCACATGGGTCCTGCTCATGAGTACGACGACGTGTGCCCTGGATAAGTATGACGCTGGATCTGACTGCGCGGCATATGTCCTGGAACCTGCCGTGCTGCAGCATACAGAGACACTTGTAAGATGAGACAGAGAAGGTATGAGCGACCATGGTGCAGCGTGCGAGTAGAAAGCGAGTGCTCACCACCCAGATGCCATGTGCACCAGTATGTACGAAGGTACGGTGACAGGTATGCCCAGCAAAAGGGGTGTGCTAAGATGGGCTGAAGAGGGGGAGGAGGAGGAGGAGGAGGAGGAGGAGGAGGAGGAGGAGGAGGAGAAGGGGAAGGAGGAGGAGGAGGAGGAACCCATAACGCTACGCCCCAGACCTCTCCCGGGGTGCGTTCTGACCAGGATCTCTAGCTGGCTCCAGCGGTGGCGACGAGGGGGCCTCCCCGGAGGCCCCAAAGGGGGGGCGGGAAACGAGGCAGTGCTAGCGGTGTGGTTGCCTTTTCCTCCTCTGACTCGGGGGGGCTGCCGTGCTCGCCCAGCTCTGCGGCAGGCAACGCGGGAAGTGCGGGCGTTGGCCGTGCCTGCTGGCCTGCACGGCGCCCACCCCTGGCGCGGGCCGGGGATGGGCGGCCCTGGGAGGCACGGCCGGGCTCCGCCGGGATGCACGGGCCGGCTTCGGGGGGGGGGGGGCGCTCGCGGTGGGGCGGGCGCGGCCCCGAGGGGCCGTTCACCACAGGAGCAGTCCAACGAGCAGCCCTTCCCATCCTCCTCCCTCCCCTCGCCCCTTCTTCTCCCGCCCCCCCTCCTCCTGTTCATCTCTCCTCCGGCTCCCTCTCCCCCTCCCGCTTCCTCGCCGGGCGCCCCCCCTATACTGCTCTCCTCTCCCCCTCTCCCCCGAAGCTGTCCCGAGAGTGGCGCGCCCCCCGCCGATGTTTCGCTCCTACAGGCTTTGCCGAGGTGTTTTTGTTGCTTCCCCTGCTGAGGCGTGGGCCTCCTGTCAGGATCGGCGCTTCGGGCCCGCTCGCCTCGGCTGGCGCCTTCGCCCCAGCGCCGGCCGCTTTATTCCTGGACGTCCGGGTCCTTCTTCATCGCTGTCTGGCCCCCCCCTTCCTTCCCCCCCTCCGCTCTCCCCTGGTCGGCCTGCTCCTCCCGCTCCTGCCCCTCCGGCTCTCCTGCGGCTGCTGCTCGTCCTCCTCCCCCTCCTTCCTCAAGCCTTGTTCCTTCTAAGTGACTCTCTCCTGTCGCACCCCCAGACGTGCCCGAAGGGTGGCCGGGCGTTTCGCCTGAGACTGCCTCGCCATTTCTGATCCCGAGGCTTTGAATAAAGAACAGCTTCACAGATTCAGGGCGGGTCCTTTTCAAGTTGGTGCTCTCGCCTCAGCGCCGTTCACGTTCACCATAAAAGTCAGCAGCCGTTTCACGGATGAAGGGTGGGTGGTTTTCAAATTAGTGCTCTTGCCTCAAAGCCACGCACATTCGTCTTAAGCGTTTGCAGTCGTTTCACGGATGGAGGGCGGGCGGTGTTCAAAATGTGGCTCTCGCCTTAGCGCTGCGCACATTCGTTTCTAAAGTTTGCAACCGATTCACTTTTGGAGGGCGGTCCCTTTTCAAAATGTGGCTATCGCCTGAGCGCCGCGCACGTTGTCTCACAAGATCACAGCAAATGAAATTATTCTTACGGTCGAACTCCAAGGACGGGTGTTTCCGCACGGTTTAGAATTGCGATGGCGCAGCAGTCATGTTGGTGGTTCGCAGTGTTCGAGTCCCAGGAATGGCATTATGGTGCGAGTAAGGTTTGCCAGGACGCAGCAAGCCATGATGATCCGCGGAGTTGATGTCCCAGGAAGGGTGCTTTGTCACGATTGGACATCATCAAACGATTGTTTTCCGATAGCGCACTTCCCGCAATGAAAGTAAATCCTGGCAGGAACCCCTCAAGAAGAAACTTTGAGGAATGGCGTATGGCAACGTCGTTGATGCGTCTTGGGTCTACGCTATTCGTCCTCCTTTTCCTCCTGCTCATCCGCAATTCCGATTGCGCATAACACGACTGGGGTCCGTTTCGAGGATTCCAGGTTTGCTATGGCACCCGTTGGCGGTTATGCAAAACTCAGCGTACTTGGAAGGGATGGGTGGGAAGGGTAGGACGCCGGATATGGCGAGCGCGCCTACCCTGCCCTGCCCTGCCCCACCTCTCCCCCTCCCTCATCCCTTCTCTCCTCGGCTACACGCAAGAGTGACCGTAAGCAAATGTGACCTCCCGTGCGCGGATTCAGGGGGCACACGGCGGCCAAGTCCGCGCGCGCCAGCAGCCGCCGCCGCGTCGCGCTCAACGATCGGGGGGACCCCGGTGAGCCCGCACCAACAGCCCCACCAAGACGCTCGACTTCCTGATCTTTCAATGCGCGCTCCCCGAAGTCCCGCCCTTTCCCCCGGAGCAGGTTTTTCATCCCAAATATATTTTGGTTGACGGTCCCGGGGCCCGGCGAGGGCCCCGAGGAGGGCCCCGAGGAGCCGAAAACAGTTAAAAAACAACCCTCCGTTCACAATTTGCCACGACGCGAGAATGCCTTTGACTCCCTCCCTCCGCGCCGCCACCTCACCAAGCTTTCTCGGCCTCTCGGCGCCGCCGGGCCCGGCCCGCGCGCAGCTCGCTCGCGCCGGGACCGGCGACCAACTGGAGTGCGCAGACAGGTGTCGAGGCGGCGAGGGCGACGGATCGACTCGACGCCGTCGTCGCCGATGACGAGGCGAGAGAGGGGGAAGGGGGGAGAGATCGGAGGAGGGCGTCTTTCCCGGGAAGGGGCCTCAGGGGCGCGGGCCCAGAGGAGGAGGAGGAGGAGGAGGAGGAGGAGGAGGAGGCGGAGGAGGAGGAAGAAAGGAGGAGGAGGAGGAGGAGGAGGAGGAGGAGGAGGAGGAGGGGGAGAAGGAGGGCCTATTCGTAGGTGAACTGTCCACCGGTGCCATGCCGAGGTGGGCCGCCGGCTCTCCGTGCGGGGAGGAGAGGAGACGAGTTAGAATCCCGTGCGGCGTGGAAGGAGTTCGTTTCGCGCGTGCCCGCTCGAGGAAGAGGCGCCCCCAATGCTCGGATCCTCGCTGCCTCACTGGGGTCCGCAGACCCCCGCTCTCCTTCGTAACAGGAATGCGGAGCGTGGTGCGCAGAATCCATACTAGATGGCAAGGCTGGGAGATCCATGAAATTCGGAATCAGGAGTTACTTTTCGCCTGCCCGCTCGAGGATGGCGCGTCCTGCGCGCAGGAATTCGAGGATGTCTCAAGCCCCAACGCTTGTTTTACACAAAGAATGCTGGCGTTTTGCGTGCCCGCTCGAAGATGGCGCGCCCTGCGTGCCGAATATCTGACGATGTCTACAGCGAAACGCTTGCTTTGCAGCGCTTGAAACGCCTGGAGGTCCCAAGATGCCTAGGTGGTCATGGGAGTGCGGTAGGACCGTCATTTACGAGGGATCGGAGCCCAGACGCAGCGTAATTGACGAGGGCTCCTGGCCCTGGAGGAGCGAAGTCAGCGTAGTTCAAAAAGGATCGTGGCCCTGGGAGCGCATCGTAATTTACAAAAGATCGCGGCCCTGAGGCCGCGGACACAGTGTAATTCACGAGGGACCGTGCCCCTAGCAACGCCGACGCTGCGCAACTTACAGAAAGGATCCTGGCCCTGGGGGCCTGCCACAGCGTAATTGAATAGGGATCGTTGCCCCTGGGGGCGCGGACACAGCGAAATTGATGAGGGAGCGTGGCCCTGGGGGCGCGGACGCAGCGCACGTAATTCACGGGGGATCGTGGCCCTGGGAGCGAGAACCCAACGTAACTTACAACCCTCGTCAAAATTAACCTCACAAGTGTATTACGTGGCTGAACTGTCTGCGGGGAGATACTGGACAGAGCAGCGATGCCTGCGAAATACTTATATGTGCCGCCTCTCCAATGTCGGTCATCCTCGAACTTCCGAGTCGTTCCCGGTCAGACCACGTTTGCCCTGGCCCCGACATTGGAGGGGCGTCTATCGACGTTGAATGGCGCGCCGACTCGCAGGGACGTGGTCGCTATGTTTGATCTTAACTTTGACGAGGGTAGTAGGTATCGTGGCCCTCGGAACACGAACACAGCATAATTTACAAGAAAGCGTGGCCCTGGGAGCTCGAACCCAGCGTAATTTACGAGGGATCGTGGGAGCGCGGACGCAGCGTATTTCCTTAGGGTTCGCAGCCTTCGGGCCCAGCGTTTGATTTTCAAGAAATGGCGGGGGGTCTGAAGAACGCTCCCCGAACACAAAACCCAATACGGAAGAGTATGCATTTCTGCTATGGAGAACCTCCGCACAGTGCTTCGTGACCCTGGGAGCGCGGACGAATCACACTTTCGAAAGTATCGTGGCCTTGGGAGCGCGGAAGCAGCGCAACTCATGAAGGATCGTGGCCTGGGGAGCGCGGACGCAAAGTAATGACGAGGGCTCGTGGCTGTGGATATGTGAATCCTTCGGGATTCAATATGGATCGTGGCCATGTGAGCGCGAACCCAGCATGTTGTACGAATGACCGTGGCCCTGAGAGCGCGAATCCAGCGTAATTGACGAGGGACCGTGGCCCTGGGTGCGCGGACACAAGATAATGTTGTATGGACCGTTGCCCTCGGAGCACGAACCCAACGTAGTTTACTAAAAACCGTGGCCCCAGGAGCGTGAATCCCATGTCCTGTAAGCGTGAACCCCGAGTAGTTTGCAGAGGACCGTGGCCATGGGAGCGCGGACCCCACGCAGACTGCGAGGGATCGTGGCACGGGGAGCGCGGGCGCAGCGCAATTTTGCACAGCCTCGTGGCCCCCGGGAGCGCAGACGCAGCGCCGCTCGTGAGGGATCGCGGCCCCGGCAGCGCGGACGCAGCGCAGTGTGCGAAGGGCAGGGGCCCCGGGAGCGCGACCCCCTGTGCGGGTGGGCGGGGGTCGCTGCGCGGGGAGCGCGAGCCCAGGGGTCGTAGCCCTGGGAGCGCGGACGCAGCTTATGGTCGATCGTGGAGTGCGGCACCGGGAGCGCGACGCCACCCGAATTCGCCGGGGGCAGTGGCCCTCGGAGCGCGGGCGCGGCTTCCTTTGCGAGGGACCGCCGTCCCGAGGAGCGCGGGCGCAGTGCAATACACCAAGGGTCGCAGCCCTGGGAGCGCGGACGCGGCGCGATTTGCAGAGGATCGCGGCCGTGGGAGCGCGGGCGCAGGGCGATGTACGAGCGATCGCGGCCCTGGGAGCACGGCCCCGTCGTAGTGAGTTCGTTCCTGGGTCCGTCGCGTACGGCCCCGTGTGGGGTCCGCGGGGTCTGGGGGCGCGAGGGTCTGGGGGAGCGGGGGGAGTGGGGTAGTCTGTCCTCTCCCCCCGCACTCCTGTCTACCCTCGGCGCGCCTTCAGGGTACCTTCGCTGACTCAGACGCGCGCGCGCCTTCAGCGGACCTTCGGCGTAGCTTCGATAACGTTTCCTATCACAAGCAAGACAGAATCCGCGTACCTTTCAACGTACCTTCGGCGTACCTTCAACGAGCGTGTCCGACGCACCTTCAGAATACCTCCGGCACACCTTCTGCAGAACCTGTGCAAGTTACGAGGGATCGAGCGTGATGTACGAGGCATCTTGGCACTGGAAGCGCGAACCCAGCGTAATTTGCGATAGGTCGTGGCACGGTGAGCGCGGAAGCTGCGCAATTTACGACGGATCGTGGCCCTGGGGGGTCGGACGCAGCATCACGTACTAGTCATCGTGGCCCTGGGAGTGCGGGCCCAGCGGGATTTGAGATGTATCGCGGCCCAGGGAGTGCAGACGCGAAGTAATGAACGAGGGACCGCGTAGCCCTCGACATCTCGACTAATAGCGGGGCGCGGAAATCCTAGGAGGCTGCGGCGCGTCAATTGGCGCGTCTCTGGCGCGTCCCGTGCCGCTTCTGTGGCACGTTCCCAGACGCGTCCCCTGGCACGTCCCCTGGCGGGCCGCCTGGTACGTCCACTGTCACGCTCCATGGCGCGTCCCGTGGCGCGTCCCCCATGGCACGTCGCCCGGCACGACCCCTGGCACGTCCCGTGGCACGTTCCATGGCGCGTCCTCTTGGCACTTTCCGCGGTGCGTCCCCATGGCACGTCCCCTGGCGGGTCCCCTGGCTGGTCCCTTGGGACGTTCCGCGGCGCGTCCCCCCAGCATGTCCCGCGGCGCGTTCCGTGGCATGTCCCTTGGCGCGTCCCATGGCACGTCACTGTGCTGCACGGCACAGCCGTGCGCAGCACAACACAGCCCTTTCACAGTACCATCAACATCAATATCTTCAACACTGCCACTATCCATCGCCAAACTGAAGTCCTTGGAAACGTTTCCATGCCTCGAAATTCGGAATCCCTTTCCAGGTTTGTGGGCCGATCATGTTCGGTCGTTTCTGGGCCTCGTGGAAGCTTCTAGTCGCCATGGCGAGACCGGCCTCAGAAAACGGGCTGGAATGGATCCTGGGAAGGGGGCCGTGGACGGAGCTTGAGCGGATCTGGGCCGGACCGGGACGCCACCGTTGTTTTTACTGGCCCTCCTCCGAAGAGATCTAGCCTGGCGAAGGACCCAACCATATGCAGTTGTGAGTACCGTCTTTGTGAGCAACGCATTCGGTGGGGTTCCCTATGGGGCCACGAAATGGCGTCCCGGGTGGGGAGACGCATGCGAATGCAGCCACGGGGGCCTTCGGTGGAGCTCCCCATGGGGCCACGAAGCGCTGTACTGGGTGGCGCGGACACATGCGAACCCTGCCACTGGGGCCTTCGGTGGAGCTCCCGATGGGGCCACGAAACGTTCAAATGGTGTGCCGAAATGGGCGGGGGGCGGCATGCGGACCCTGCCACTGGGGCCTTCGGTGGAGTTCCTTATGAGGCCAAGAACCGTGTGAGGGGCGTGCCGATGTGTGGCGGGGTACGCAACACGGAAGAAGACGATTGATCTCATAACGAGAGCCTGAGAGCGGGTGAGTATGAGCACGAGTGGGTCTGATTGTGCATGAGTCTGCGTGCGAGTGAGTCTACGCGTATGCATGTCGACGCCCATATCGGCACGCCCCTCGCGTGGATCGCTCCCGGTTCCTTCCCCTCTTTTTCTCCCTCTTTGCCCGCGCATTCCAGTGTCCAAGGCTGCGGGCGCAGCGCAGCGCGGAGTCCCCGCGGCGCGCGCTGGTCGCCCCGAAGGGGTCCCAGCAACGCACGCGGGTCGTCCGCTGCGCGATGGGTTACCACCGCCAGCCCGGAGACAAGGGTTTCCCCCTGACCCCGATTCGGCTGACGATAGGTTACCACCGCCAGCCCGGATACAAGGGTTTCCCCTGCACCCGATTCGGCCGAGGATGGGTTACCACCCCCGGCCCGGACGCAAGGGTTTCCCCCTGCGCCCGGCCGCCGTCGTCCTCCTCAATTCATGTTCCTCCTCCTCACATCATGGGTCGCGCGAGTCGCCCTCCGAAGAGCACAACAGTGACGACAGCTACGAGATCTGAATATTCGTTCGGTCTCGAACATGAAGCTGCGGGCCCCACAGGCGCCCCGCATGCGGGCGCAGCCACTAGGGCCTTCGATGGAGGGTTTCCCCCTGCGCCCGGCCGCCGTCTTCCTCCACAATTCCTGTTCCTCCTCCTCACATCATGGGTCGCGCGAGTCGCCCTCCGAAGAGCACAACAGTGACGACAGCTACGAGAACTGAATATTCGTTCGGTTTCGAACATGAAGCTGCGGGCCCCACAGGCGCCCCGCATGCGGGCGCAGCCACTGGGGCCT